AACGCATCTTAAATTAATTTTCTAGCATTGTTCTGCTGTCTGTTACTGATGGTACCATCAATGTCTCACGCAAAACACTCGCATTTTAGGCTGAATATAGCGGCAAGCCTAAATCAGTTCTTGTCTCAAGCCTAAATCAGTGGTTCGTTTCTGTCAGTGGGAAAACTGTTCGTTTGACGATTCACTCATTCATTCCGGTAGTAAATTGGTACTAGCACACGCCAAGGGGTCAAGCCCACCATTGGTTTGTTTCTCACGTCTTGCATTTCCGGTTTGTGTGTTAATAGCCGATATGTAGGGTTTGAAACCTGCCGAGAGCAATTAAACTCAAATTTTTAAACAACCACGAGTGAGGATACAGTCGGCCGTCTTGCAAGCGGGTGACTGTTGTCGGCATGGTGCTGCCTTTCAGCTATTTTCGTGTGCTTCCGTTTTTCATCGAAAGTTGGAAAGTGAAGGGAGACGTGGTTTTGACTGAGGGCTGAAGCATCGGTCACTGGATTAGTATCCAGCAGGCGCTACTCCCTGTATGATTGCAGTACGGCTTCGATTTAGGCAGAATCAATATCATTATCGCTGTTAAAAGTGCAAACGATTGTCACTTGATGATTTACCCGGGGCATGATAAGGCATTCTGCTTTTTTGAATTTATCACTTTCTGTTAAGCGTAGTCGCAACAGACGGGATGTGCAGTCATAAAGAGGAAATGGGTCCTTTTCAAATATAACCATGCTTCATGTAAGCAAAAAAGCCTCGAGGATTCATAACTTTTCTTACTTGACATTATTACTTTTGTATACTTTTAAGCGTGCGCTTATGGCATCTGGAGCTGCCATTTCTCTTTTTTGCCTTGTCACATTTTCATCACCTTACTACAGTATTAATCAGCACCTATAGCTGCGATCGGCATGTGGGAGTTTCCTAATAACATCACTAACAAGGGAATGCAAAGACTGATTGCCCAGTCAGTCTTCTTATTTTTGGTAACTTTTGTGTTTACATAAAGGAGGAAATCCTGGACGGAAAAAATTGAGTTATATCTTAACGCAACCCACGGATATTGGCTGTTACAGGCACCATGGGAAAAGTGCGATTGGGAAGTTGGAGAGTGCATTACACTTCCCTCTCCATTGTGCTTATCCTCCTTGTGAAGCTTAGGCTATATCACTAAAGTATGCAGAACACATCGCCGAAGTTTTATCGAAGTTATGCTCATTCTTTCGGTTTACCTCCGCTTTATCCTCAAATTCGCTTGTAAATCTTGCTAGTTTAAGGGAAGCCTTGACTTGAGGATTGAACCTAAAAATTTTGACTTCTTGCCACAGAAACAGCCTGGATCTGGCTAAAGAACGAGAACTTGGATAAAAAGTCAACATTTGAAATTAAGGCTTGTAAAGCTAGTTTCAGCATAGGACTAGGTCCTGAAAATTCTGTTTTCTGAATTTCATACTCATCGAGTTCATTCATCCAAATATTCCGTTATTTACACCGGCATAGGTCCGCAAGCCTAACACAAACATGCCCTTGTCGTAATAAAAGTGAAAAGGAATCTAGGATTATGCTGCCTCTTGAACGATTCCGCTGTCGTTTTGTGTTTACTTAGGAATAAGGTGCAGGTATCGATGAATTCTTTGCTGCTGCTATCACATGCATCCAGGAAAGCCAATTTTATGGCTTTCCTTATATTTTATTGCCGTTTTTTCGGTTTATTAATTTCTGGCTGTACAAATGCATAAAACAGGTGGCTGATGCTATCTAGAAATATGCAGCCCAGGATCGAAAAGTCCGGTACAGTTGCGATGTGTGAAAGCAGTACCCGCGTTGATTGCCCTGCGCTTCTTGCAGTCGTGTTGGAGGCGGTTCGCTAATCTTTTTGACTATCACCTATGTTGGCGTACTTTAAAAATGTAGGCTTTTTTAGCGTAACGAGAAGAATCTGCATTTGAACGTCTACCCGCTTACCGCTCACGCATTTTCAGTAAGCGGATTGAGTGTGAAATGAAAACTTTTATTGCGCACTTAAAGTTAGCTAATAGGAAGCGAACTACGAGTCACTTACAGTACACGTTTTGCTACTTTGATCAGCTCTTACTTCATTGCTGCGCTTTCGTCATTGATGCTGCCGATAGCTTCTCCATTTTTCTCTATTTCGCCTATTTTTCATCCATACAATTCCATTTAACCATTCGAACGGATTCATTCATTAAATTTTTTCTCCAGTTTTAATATGCGCTTTTTTTAAATTTTCACAAATTGTTATGTTTTTTGCCATTTCTTACCCATTAAATGAATCGCATTGTTTTTACAATTTATTCGTGAATCTGCAATTTCGATAAAATGCAGTATGCAAAAAAAAAAAAGGGAATTCCAAATAGCAGCAATTTACAGGAGAAAGGAGGAAAAATGGACGATAATTTGGCGGATTATCGGCGTTTCTGCGCCAATCGTTTACGCCGATTGGAACGCTGTAAAAAGACGAAAAGCTTCTGCAATTTGGACGATGATGTTCTTCCAGCTGCTGACTCCGGTTCTGAAAATATTCGCTTAAAAACAGATAATTTTGCTGCATGCACCAGCTCGAGCAGCACATTTTCCGGAGAACCTTGTGTAGCCGTCATGGATTTATGCTCCAGAACGAGTACCGTTGAATCCA